TGCAATCCCTCTCTTTAGAAATCAAATCAGAGTTGAAAAGGTTAGTACTCAGCTTGAATTGAATCTCCAAAAGTTCATCTTGAGCTCTTGAAACTTGCTGACTAATGTTCATGTAGTTCTTCTTATTAAGATCCTTGAGAACATGCTTGAGATTTTTAAGTTTTGAGCAAAATCTGTACATGTTATACCCTCTGACACTCTTATTCCAAGCTGATCTTACCACTTCTAAAAAGTCAGGGTGTTTAGCCCACATATTAAAGAATTTAAAAGGCTTTTTACCATCAAATATTTCATCTCCAATAGTAATAAGCCCAGGGGAGTGATCAGAGCAAAGAGGCATCAAATATTCCACTTGACTTGTAGTATATTGATTAATCCAATCATCATTTACCAAGGATCTATCCAATCTACTCCAGACCCTAGTTCCAGCATCTTGTTTATTATTCCAAGTGAAATAGCAACCAATAGTTTTCATGTGGCTCAGTTGGCTGGAAGAAATAAAATTTTGAAAATCATCATTACCAGCTCTAGTAGACTGAATACCTCCAATTCTTTCATCACCATTTGCAGTAGCATTAAAATCAGCCCCCACCAACCATGGGCAGTTGACACTCCTTTTGAAAGCAAGAAGTTCCTCCCAAAGAGTTTTCCTTTTATCATTTTGATTATGAGCATAGACTACAGTGATCAAGCATGACAATTTACCATCCTTGGACTTTAGAACACAAGTAATATACTGATCAGAGGAATTAACCTCTTGAATAGAGAGCACTTCACTGTCCCACAAAATCCATATTCTAGCATTGTTCACCCAGTGCTTATTAGATATCCATTTCCACTCTTTTGTAATTTTCTTGCCAATAGACTGTAATTTTTCATCCCTCTTTATTTTAGTTTCTAAAAGGGCTAATAAAGAAATACTGTACTCCTGAATAAATTTTTTAACTAGCCCATGCTTAGAGGATTTATTAAACCCTCTAATGTTCCATCTAGTCAAATGCATTTATTGAGGAAAACCCCCTCTATCAATATTAGAGGGATCCAAATCAAATATTTGATGATCAAGGATGGAGAATCTAGATGTTTGTACTGAAGTACCAGGTTCCCTCATAATAGGTCTTTTAGCAGCAAGAGCACTATTTACATGTGTAAATCCACTTGAATTGACTGAAGGAGAGCAAGGGAAGGTTCTCTGCTTAGTGTGAGAAATCTCCAGTTGTGCATGTTTTTCTAGTTGTGCATGTTTTTCTAGTAGTGAGAAACCCCCTCTATCAACATGTAAAACCCCAGTTGTGCATATTTTTCCAGACTGCAGAGGGACAGAGCTGGTCTGTGCACGTTTTTCCATCTGTGCATGTTGTGCTGGCTCAGTGCTATACAGACAATTGTCAGAATCTTTAACAATTGTTACCTGAGGAATTTGCACATCAATCTTATCAGAAGTTATCTCCTTAGCTTCAGAATCCCTACCTTCAACAGGAGGAGGAACATTAGAGGCAGACTTTGGCTTCCAGACTTTTTTAGTTCTTCTACAGTGCTGAGTATCATGTCCAACAATTTTGCAAGAGGAGCACCATCTTGGTTTGAACTCATAAACCACCTTTTGATAATAGCTTTTCCCATCAGGGCCTTGAATTTCAATTTGATCAGGCAGAGGAGCTTTGAAAGGAAGATCAACCACCAATAACACCCTTGCATAACTCAATCTTTGCCTTGATGCAGTGAGCTTATCAGTAGCAATAGGACACCCAATCATACTTGCAATCTTACTAAAGCCAATGGAACACCATAAGTTCAATCTTAAATTTGGGAATTGCACCCATATGGGATATTTTTGATCCTGTAATTTGTCAATGTCCATATCAATTGTCCATGGCTTAAGCACAAGTGGACGTGAGCCAAAGAACCAAGGCCCTCCTTCCAGTATACCTCTCATACTGTTCTCATTTTGGAAATCAAACAGAAATATTCCTTGCTTAATTAAAGAGACTTTAGGAATAGAGATTTTACCCCATAGTTTTGTAACATAGGACTCCATAGACTTAAACTTAACATTCATCCCAATTACATGCCCAATTAAAGCATATTTCCAGAAATTTTCACCTTCCCTCCATTCATCCTTATTAAATGAAATAGTATTCCCCTTAGAAAATGGAATATAATTCAAAGATAACCCTCTACCAGCTTGCCTATTGTCAGAAAATAAACTGACAAAAGATTTCTTAACCTCTTGTTCTTCATTATTAGGAATTTCAAACTCTTCATTGTTAGACCCTAGAGGGGGGGGGGGGTGATTAGGGTCTTATGCTAATCTAATCCGATTAAATACTAATTAAAACTAATTAACAAGTTATCCTAACAAGTATGAAATATAACAACTATATAAGCTAGGATAAGCAATATCAACAATGAGATATATCCTATATGATGAAATATATATATAAGGATATATAAACTAATACAAGATAATATATCCTACAATATGATATATGCAAGGATATGAAACTAACACAAGGGTAAACAATATGAACTAGATAGTGGATCATATAAATAATGAGCTAATGACAATGGCGACAAGAAATATAAACACAAGTATAAATAAACGCCAAAGCACACTCAAACACAAGATATGATCACGGAGTTCGGACCTTCCGTCCTACGTCTCCGTTCCCCACTCCGGGGGAGAAATCCACTATCACAACCGGGTTTTCTACGTTCACCCGAATAATGTTTACACCTCACAGTATCGGTTTTCAACGCTCACTGATCAACGTCACTCCTCACAATCGGTTTTCTAGTTCACCGAAAACTTCACAACACACTCTCGGTTTTCTAGCTCACCGAAAACCTTACAACACTCACAATGTAACAAATATAAATTTGTTCTCTACAATAGATGAGAACCCAATTTAGCACAACTCAATGTTATAATCTCTCACAACCCTAATATATTATGTATGCAAATACAATAAGCTCAAAGGTTGTGTATGTAAACAAAGAGTGAAATCAAATCTAACTCAAATAGCAAACTAGCAATAAGAATATGAAAATCAATAATAAAATTGCTAGAGAAAAGAGTTAGAAAACTTCTCTAAAACACAAAGAAGATGATGAAGAGGATTGAGAAAGAATCCCTCAATCTTCAGTGAAGCTTCCTCCTTTGTAAACAAAAACCAAACTTAAAACAACCTGTACAACTCTTTTAAAACCCTTATTTAAAACATTGTTTAAAAACTTCTTAACTAACTAGAAAGAGAGCAGCAATAGGGTATTTATACCCACTCTAAATCTCAGTTAAAACCCCTAACAAGAGACAAAAACAGCCCCAGCAAACAACTCAGGACATAGCCGTTGGAAGCCAACGGATCTATTGTCGGTTGACCGGAAATTCTGTCGGTCGATCGATGGAGAACAAAAACACCATGAACTGTTCTGGATCATCGTCGGTCGACCGGTGCAGTCGACCGATGGAGCTTTCGGTCGACCGGGCCGGTCGACCGACAAACTCTCTACTGTCCTCTGCCGACTAAAACTATGAGCGGTCGACCGGTGCGGTCGACCGAATACTGATACTGCTGAAAAACAGTTTTAAACAGATTTTTGACTTTTAGAAAATTATTAAAAATAACAAATGAAGTCCAAAAATAATGAAACTTTGGGAAATGTATATAAACATGTAAATGAACATATTACAAAAAGAATTTTCCAAATTGCATTTCCCATTTGTGAAAAATCATCATTTTGCAAAATAGTTCAAAACACGAAAAAGTAAACATGTGAATTTTGATATTTTGGCTAAACCATGTTTTAAAACTTTGCACAATGATTATATAGACTTAATAAAATATGAATATGATTAATGTTAAGTCCAAAAGCTAAGAATATAGAATTTTCACAAAATTGCATATTCTATGCAATGTTTTCAAAAACACAATATATATATATATATATATATATATATATATATAGAGAGAGAGAGAGAGTATGAGAAAACTGGCCATGAGCTGCCAGCGTAGGGGATATGTGCGCTGCAGGGGTTGATTTGAAAAAAAGACCCAACTTTTTAAACTCCGTCGATTCCAGCTGTTCCCCAACTTCATTTTTCTTTCCCCAAATTCATTTTTCTTTCCCCAAATCTCTCTCTCCAGCTCCTCTCTCCCAGATCTCAAATCCCAGTTCTGAAGAGCTCCTCTCTCTCCCCAGTTCCTCTCTCCGACGCGAGCACCGCCGCCCTCCTTGCGGCCGCCGCGACCACCGCTGACCGCTGAGCTCCTCTCTCCGCCACCTGCAGCCGCCGCGATCACCTCCGCCCTCCTTGCGGCCGCCAAATCCGCTCGTTTCGGCATCTCCCCCTTCGAGAGTAAATCATTTGATCACCACCACTGAGCTCCTCTCTCCGCTGATCTCCTTGCGGCCGCAATCACCACCGCTGAGCTCCTCTCTCCGCCAGTTGGGGCCGCCGCGATCACGTCCGCCCTCCTTGCGGCCGCCAAATCCGCTCGTTTCGGCATCTCCCCCTTCGAGTTCGCTCAGGTCAACCCATCGCCCTCCTTTCTTCTTACTGTAATGTTCTGTAAATTCTAACATTTACTGTTAAATTTAATTAAAAATCTTATATACAGATTGTATTGTGTTGTATGAATGCTTTGTTGATGTAGTCCAGACAGAGCGGATTTTTGCTAAGTGGTGATGTGATTAAAAATTTAACTGGGATCAGGGTTTTATGAACTTGAGTTCTATTGATCCTACAGTGAAATGCTAATTTTATCTCAACAGAGTTTTATGAACTTGAGTTTTATTGATCCTACAGTGAAATTCATAAAGTATATGCTAATTTTGCAAATTTTATGAAGTCATGGAAGCAGTAATGGGGTATTGCAGTAATGTATATGCTAATCTTGCAAATTTATTTGTGTCTTTTTTTCGTGTATGTTTTTTTTTTGTTCCCAAATAATTGACGTGGTCATTATTATTGTTTTCTTCTTCTTTAGGAGTTTATAATGGAGGAAACAAATTCAAATAGTGTAGAGTTCGGAATGGGAGAATCAAGTGTTATTGGAATTGAAACTGCGACCAATTCTGTAAATGCTCCTAAACCACTACTAGGAATGAAGTTTAATAGTCATGAAGAAGCTTATAACTATTATAACTCTTATAAATTGTTGATGGGTTTTGGAATAAGGAAGAGCAGTGTGAATTACTCTCGCAAGACTAGAGAAGTGGTAGACAGAAAGTTTGTTTGTGATAAGGAGGGCTATAAATCTAATAGTGGCAAGATAGAGATCCCTCTTCGGCGAGAGACCCGAGTGGGATGTAAGGCAATGATGCGAGTTAAATTATTGGAGGACAAATCGTGGGAGGTCACGGGGTTTGTTGAAGAACATACAAATTATGTGTTGAGTAGTCCAGACAAAGCAAAAATGCACAGATCACATCAACAATTTTATAAAACTGAAAGATGTAAAAAACTTATTGATAGTCTGCGAGAAGAAGGTATGCCTCCTTCCACTATTTCTCGCGTTATCAATGCAACCAATGGAAGAGACGGTGAATTTGTGACATCACAACAGTGCATTGATCATATCAGAACCCAAAGAGTCAACAATATTGGTCATGAATGCATATCTATCATTCGACATTTTCAGAGTATGACAGCGAATGATCCAGAATTTTATTTTGCAATAGAAGTAGACAGTAGTGGACAAATGAGGAGTGTATTCTGGGCCGACAGAAGATCGAGAGCATCTTATTTGCAATTCAGTGATGTTATTGTGTTTGATGTGACATACAGAACTAATAAGTTCGGTCTTCCATTTGCTCCATTTACTGGTGTAAATCACCATACGCAGTCCACTTTACTTGGTTGTGCATTATTAGCCGATGAACAGGAAGATACCTTTGTTTGGTTATTTGAAGAATGGCTGAAATGCATGCACGGTATTGAACCAGGTGCTATTATAACAGATCAGGATAGAGCAACGTGTAATGCTATTCACTCAGTGTTTCCAACGACAAGACATCGTTATTGCTATTGGCACATGCAAAAGCATATTATTGATCATTTGCCTACTTTGGTATCTCGTTATGGTGAACAGTTTCAAAGGTATTGGGGCTTGTGGTGCAATAGTTCTTCAATTGAACAATGTGAAGGATATTGGGTTGAGATGAAAGAGAAGTTTGATATAAATGAAGAAGGGGAGGGATGGTTGCAAACAATTTACAAATGCAGAGAACACTGGGTGTCGTGTTATCTGAAGGACACTTTTTTTGCTGGAATGAGATCGAGCCAAAGGAGTGAAAGTATTAATGCATTTTTTGATGGGTATGTTAACTCACAGACTCAGTTACACGAGTTTGTGACACAATATGAAAAAGCAGTAACTCATCGTCGCTTAAGTGAAGCCCATGAAGATTTTAAGAGTCTGAACACAAAGCCTGTCATGCTCCTTGGACATCCAATTGAGGTCCAAGCTGGAGAAATGTATACACGCAATATGTTTGATGTGTTCCATACTGAATTCAAAGGATTTGGTACAGAGTTCTGTGAAGAATTGAGAAAAGATGGGGACATTGTTGAATACAAGGTCTGTAAGTTTACAGATAGAGGAAAATGGGAGGTGGTTACTTATGAACAATCCAGTCAGATGCAGTTCTGTTGCACTTGTGCTTTGTTTGAAACTAATGGTGTTGTATGTAGACATATATTATCGCTAATGATGGCTAGGCAAATGGATTCATTACCCGACCACTACATCCTACACCGTTGGACCATACATGCAAGGCATCGTAACATTGGGGTTGGCAATATTGTATTTGGAAGAAACATCACCAGCTGTGAAGAGAAGATTAATTTATTGAAATCTTGGGCTTTAAGAGCAAAATTCAATAATGTGCTCGAGCTTGCATTTGATTCAGAAGAGAAGCTGCAACAACTTGATGATGTGCTAACAAATTTCATGGAATCACTTGAAGAAGAAGTTGGAGAAACTCAAGATCAAATTATGGATATTCCTCAACCTTCCGCACCCATTTCACATACAATAGAGAACATTCCTCAGATAACAGTTCGTGATCCTGATAGACCTGCAAGGACTAAAGGTCGTCCACGCAATGCTACTAGAATCCAGTCAGGTTTAGAACAGGCACAAGAAAAGAAAGAAAGGAAGAAACACATATGTAGCAGATGTGGTGAACTCGGGCATTATAGAACTAGTTGTAAAGTTAACTTGCAAAGGTACCATTTTCGTTTCTATTCAGTTTTAGCCCTATATAAGTTTATGAAACTTGATAGCACAAAGTCATATCTCATGATTAATGTACGTATGATCTTATGCATTTTTGTGTATCAATCTTTAACAGTGCTTTATTTACTTTGTTTTTAACTTTTAACAAACAAATTATTTGCTTGTACATGTTGCTCAGGTTCATCCACAACTGTTGCTGATTGTGCCTTATAGCTGCTGATTGTGCCTTATAGCTGCTGATGTGTTAAGACTAATGTATTAAGACCGAGTATGTGTGTGTGTTATTGGTTATTTGATATGGATTGTTGTGTTGTAGCTGCTGATGTATGTGAATTGTATTGTGAAGTTTGTAAGTTTTAATTCTATGGCTTCTTGTAGTAACTTTCATTTATGCAGTTCTTGTAGTAACTTTCATTTATGCAGTTCTTGTAGTAACTTTCATTTATGCTGATGTATGTGAATTGTTTGAATTTTTGTTAAGATGAATGGGTAATATTATACTGGGCATGGAATACCATCATATGAGGTGCCCATAATGGTGTTCGTGAAGGTAAACATTCATATCTACAAACCATCCATGTCCATTTATGCTGCTGGTGCTGAATGCATCTGATATTGGTTTGTAGGCCGTAGTAATCAGCACTAGCTATGGCCTTAAGAGGCAACAAAAATTGTGATTGTGACATTTGGGAGAACAAACAACTATTCCAATCATTGAAGGATGCTGCCGATAAGTAGTAATGAACTAGTTGCAGCGGATGATGCCTTTGCAGCCACTACCAGGGCTGATATCTGCTAACAAGTCCAACTGCTGAGTATTTAGGAGATGATGTATAAAAGAATTGTGTACATGTTGGTAGCCATGTAGCCAACTGGATGAGTGTAGATTGGCAGACAGACAGCTTATCCCAAATAATGATGCTCGAACATAGCTAATGCTAGAAACCTCATTTATAGAAAAGTGCGAGATTGTAGGGTGAACAAGCAAAGCTTTATATCAAACATGACATAAGTTCTCACAATCACTAATATAGAAAAAAGGCATAGCACATCCATAGCAGGGTTAGAAAGAAGCCAAAGTAATAAAACATCCCACAAGATACATAAGTTCTCACAATCTCACAATCACAAGATACATAAGTTTCTATCAAACATGACATAAGTTCACTTCGGCACATAAGTTCTCACAAGATACATAAGTTCTCACAATCTCACAATCACATAAGATACTCGATACATAAGTTCTCACAATCACATATTTTTTGCAAGAGAGAAAAAAAATACGACAACGATACATATTACAAACAATAATAATGTAAACACTGAACCTAATGCAAAAGCATAGGTGGGGGAAATAGCAGTTCTTGAGCTCGATGCAGAATCAGGTGTCGGGACATAAAAAGGTGTTTGGACATGCCCTGTACTGGATGCTGAATCACAAGCGATGCCGTGCTTATCCCATTCTACCAAAGCCTCTTCGTACGTTGCATACCCTTATATGCGGCATTTGGGAATTTATCAACTTGCATTTTACAGTCCTCCCAATTATTATAAATTCCACACCATCGACCTCTCTTCACAATGTAAAAATTCTTTCTTGCTATGGACCACCTAAAAAATTATGGTTTGAAGCAAAATCACAGTAAAAACTCTCTTAATTTCTTTGTGGAATTAAGAGAAATTATAAGTGCAGTAGCATATACTTTGCAAATTATAAGAGAAATTATGGTTCTGGATTGATTGGATTATAGATGTAATTGTGTTTTTTGTCATATAATTTGCAAACATGCAGTAGCATATACTGTATGATTTTGCTTTAATTAAACCTGGTAAAATTAAAGCACAATACTGGTAAAGCCCAAAAGTTCCTTGAATAATAAGTTTGTAACATGTTTTAATTAAACCTGACTTCATATCAGCTACGCTTATGGAACATTCAAAAGTTCCTTGAATAAGAAGTTTGTAACATGTTTTATTTCTCTATAATGCCAACTTTTGTTCTCTGTAATGCAATTAACCATCTCATGTCCATCTCACTGTCTAGATCCAGTTCTATATTTTACCAAAATTACCATCGAGATTATATAAACATGCTGTTTTTAAGAGTGTCGTTATTTGCAAAGTATTTCAAAATTAAACCCTAGAACAAATATTTCAAAATTTAACAGTAAATGTTAGAATTTACAGAACATTATAGTAAGAAGAAAGGAGGGCGATGGGTTGACCTGAGCGAACTCGAAGGGGGAGATGCTGAAACGAGCGGATTTGGCGGCCGCAAGGAGGGCGGAGGTGATCGCGGCGGCCCCAACTGGCGGAGAGAGGAGCTCAGCGGTGGTGATCGCGGCCGCAAGGAGCTCAACGGAGAGAGGAGCTCAGCGGTGGTGATCAAATGATTTACTCGAAGGGGGAGATGCCGAAACGAGCGGATTTGGCGGCCGCAAGGAGGGCGGAGGTGATCGCGGCGGCTGCAGGTGGCGGAGAGAGGAGCTCAGCGGTCAGCGGTGGTCGCGGCGGCAGCAAGGAGGGCGGCGGTGCTCGCGTCGGAGAGAGGAACTGGTATATCACTATATATATATATATGAAAACCAACATAATGTGTGTGTATAGATATTGAGCTTAACGTACTTAACACACATAATATAAATCCTAAACTAAGTTACCCAAGCTTGATTGGTCTTCAATAAGCTCTACTTGGTAATCTCGCGGATGAAGCATGAACTTGATCTTTAACTTTGAATTGTACGTTGCTTCACTCCACAATTCCGCCAACCTCCTCTTGATATGATCGTTAAGGCTCGATTCCATCCATCCTCCAACTACGTTGTTTGTCTATAATACATAGGAATGTACAAACACTAGACAAACAATATTAGTAGTAAATTGTTTGTAAATCATCATCAAAATAAGAAGGCCAACATTCATCATTATTTTCCAGGTTCTTATTCTGTTCTTGAGCAATTTCAGCAGAAATACTATTCAAGTTACCATCAATATTTGGGATAACATATTCAGACTTATTCTGATCAAAAGAAGGAGATCTTGACTCATCACAAGAAATCTCAACCAGATCAGTTTCAACAAATACCTCATCATCATCAACGCCATCAGCCCAGGAGTGAGAGGATTTACTTAGCTCATGAGAAATTCGAAGATCAGCATCAATCTGAGGAGGATCCGACAGCGAATTCGTCCTTGCAAGAACCTCAGTCATCAACAACTTCTTCTTGGCTCCCTTAGGTCCTGTGCTCTCCATTTCTTGAGAAAGAGGATTCACTGTTACATCCGATTCAAAATCAGAACTACCGATACCAGAGCTTGCAGAGATTCCAGATGATGAAGGATAAGAGAAGAGTGAATCTCACAGCTCCTTGCTTAGGTTGCTAGTACTCTTCTTCTTCCTCGATCTCGCCATTCAAATCTAGGCGGAGGTGCACATTAGCAAGGGGGATCGCCTACTAAAGTGCACCAAAAAAATCCCGCCCCTTAAAAAACTGGAACTGCCAGATATGATATTTGTTTCCAGTATGAGGTGATATATTTGACATTGACCATTAACAAAACGAATTAAGGCCAGATATGATATTTGTTTCCAGTATGAGGTGATATATTTGACATTGACCATTAACAAAACGAATTAAACAAGCAATCCAGGTGCTTTTCATTTTTGAGGTGATATATTTGACATTGACCATTAACAAAACGAATTAAACAAGCAATCCAGGTGCTTTTCATTTTGTCTTGCATATGGGTTGCCTGATATGATGATACATTTGCCAATGCAGCGCTGCAATTGAAGAATCTTAATCTTTAGTATTGGATTAAATCCAGACTAGTTTTTATTGCACATACATGAAATTGCAGCTACTCTGGGATGCTGTTCTTGCTTTGCTATACCTTGTGGCTGTCAAAATTATTATGCAGTTTTAACTGGTTGATTCTTGTACTTAAAAGGTTACAAAATGGTATACGCCTCTTAAAATCAAAACTGGTTTTGTTTATGTAGCACAATCCAAAAGTCTAGAAAGTTTTATAAAAGAACTAAACATGCATTTTGCATTCTGCATTCATTTCTATGATCCTCAGGAGCAATAGTCATATGAAACCAAATCAAAATCCAAGCCAAGAAAGCGATTTAACATAATTTCTACATAATAATTCTTTAAATAGTCATTAAAAGCATCCATGTGCTTAACATACATATATATGTACAAAAATATTTTAAACCATGTAGTCATCAAAGCATTCATGTGCTTAACATAAAAGTCCAAAAGCATATAACTAACAACATCTATGTTCCCAAAAATACAACTCCAAAAGAGTAATAATCAAACTACGGTCCACAAGCATAGTCATTAAATAGTCATTAATAAGCATAGTGATTGTCGTCATTTGGAAATACTCCAGTCAGTCGCCAAATCATAAACCTTCTCCTTTGATCATCATTTATCTTCACAAATATATCCTTCACTTCTTAGGAAATATTTTGACTAAGGACAGTCAATCGTTCTTCATTGGTAAATACTGGAATTGAAGTCACTCCCTCGACCCACGGTTTGTTACGTCTTCACAACAACCTCACCTCTAAGACTAACTCTTGTAAAGACTTACTTATAATTATAATTTCACTCTCCATTTCTTATACGGCGGGTTGAGACAATGCAGAGGTGGTGGTGCGGGAAGGTGCTCTACGAATATTTCTGCTAGTGCTAGAGGTCAATGATACAGATTCAGCCACGGGAGTGGCAAGATCTAGATGTCTATTAGGGGGAGGTGGTGGAGGATCTACTGGTGGTTGGGTAGGTTCTGCTTCACCCATAGCATCAAGTCCAATCTCATCATCAAATATACCCTCACCTAATGCATTATGTAATGGCGTACTCTCTACACCCTCACTTCCTAAGCCTCCAGCTATTCTCCAAGTAGCTGAGTGGCTACCCACCACCATCTGCATATCCTCAAAATTTTCAAACAACTTATCTTTAAGTATTGGTGTATTAGAATGAGCTTGTCAAAAAATAAAGATAACCAATTATTTTTTTTTTCTTTTTTTGTAATTAGCAAACATAACAATACATTATGTAGTTAAAAACTTTGGTAATTAATAATCTAACCTGTTTATAATTTTTCCACACCTCAACGGAGCAAGTAATTCTTTGAGATATTGGGTTCCAATCAAACCCGGAATTGTTCCTCAATAGTAATTCAATTGGTTCAATCTTCCTCTTCCAACTCTTGATCTTATTCTTTACATGATCAAATTTAAAAGTTCTCCCGAATTTAGCATTCATGAATGGTAGCACATTTTGAGTGATGGTATATTTCTTAAAGTTGCCATTATCCATCTTGTTGTCATTCTTCACCTCCTCCACTAAAAGCCTTAGTAGCTCTCTATTCCCATTATCCATCTTGTTGTCATTCTTCACCTCCTCCACTAAAAGCCTTAGTAGCTCTCTATTCTCTTGCTCTGACCATATTACTTCTTCACCTCCTCCACTAAAAGCCTTAGTAGCTCTCTATTCTCTTGCTCTGACCATATTACATAGTCACGCCTAGCCTTTTTGGCCCTCTCACCATCTCGAGAGTACTCTTCCACATTTGAGTTTCTGAAAAAAA